AATCTGAACAACTAGCAATTTAAAAATATTTAATAGTTCTTAAAATATACAAAACATATCTGTTACCATATTTAATTAATTCACAAATAAATGAAAAACAATATTGAATATCTTAATTTCAAACAGATATTTGTTAATGAGAATATTTCTGAAATCAAAGTACAAACCAGTGACGTGAACACAAATATGATCAATAATTTCATCTTCAAAGTTACAAAAAGAAATGACAGAAATGAGCTTTAACAGTGAAACAGACCGACTGTGGACGAACTGTAATACAAACTTATTCATTCTGTTAAAATAATAATGAGCTGTTTCACCTGTGTTTACCTGTGGAGTCAGTGATGTGCTGCGGTGTGTTTCTGTCAGGCATTCAGACCCTGTTGACGTTGAAGTTGTTTACTGTTTATTCAGGATAATAATAATAATAACAATAATAATAATGATAATAAATAATCTTTGTGTTATGTGTTTGTATTGTTGTTGTTTACAATCAGACCGAGATTTCCGTCTGTGTGTTAATTCTCTGTTACGAGGTGCACGTGAAGGCACCACGCACTGCTTTCTCCCAGCCCCATAAACCGGTTTTGTTTTGGTAGCCGTTGTTCCGACGCTCCCTGAGGGCCATGGACGCAGCAGAGTGAGACCACGAGGTGCTGTGTGCGCGCTGTGATTGGCTGCTGATCAGCTGCTCTCTGCAGAGGCTCAGTGGGGATCAGCTCCGTCCTCACCGGCTCTCAGTGCTCCATCCCCGGCCAGCTGACGGCCTCCTCCCCGCTGACACTGTTCCTCCGGTTAACGCTGCTTGTGTCTCTTTAACGTCTCCAGTGATGCGGAAGCGGAACAACTCAGAGGACAGCGGGACCACCGGCACTCTGCTGGACACAGACCCGGACCTGAAGCAGCGTCCCGCCAGGGGGGGAGCAGCGGGGCCCGCGGCAGGAGGCCGGCACGGCCTGGGAGAGGACGGAGGCATGGGGAAGCCCTTCAGGAGGTAAGACCCGGGGGGGACAGGGACAGAGACACAGAGACACAGGGACAGGGACATACACAGGGACAAAGAGATAGAGACAGAAAACGAGACATAGGGACATAGGGTCGGGGACATAGAGACAGAGAGAGAGACAGGGACACAGGGACATAGGGACACAGGGACAGAGGGACAGAGACATAGGGACACAGGGACAGAGACACAGGGACACAGGAACAGAGACACAGGGACACAGGAACAGAGACACAGGGACACAGGAACAGAGACACAGGGACATAGGGACACAGGGACAGAGACACAGGGACAGGGACATACACAGGGACAAAGAGATAGAGACAGAAAACGAGACATAGGGACATAGGGTCGGGGACATAGAGACAGAGAGAGAGACAGAGACACAGGGACAGAGACACAGGGACATAGGGACACAGGAACAGAGACACAGGGACACAGGAACAGAGACACAGGGACAGAGACACAGAGACACAGAGACACAGGGACAGGTGTGTGACTGCCTGGACTGTCTGTCTATTAAAGAAGAACAACATGGTGGAGACAATAAGACAGACAGGTTCACGATTTCTCTCCAGAGACTTTACATAAGTTAGAAATGATCATAAAAACAAACCAAAGAAAGTAAAAATGATTTAAATAAATCTAAATAGTTTGAATTTAGACGCTGAGCTCATTCAAACTCTAACATGAAAGTGTTTTTCTCACTGAGCTGATGTTATGTTACAGTATTTACAGAACATACATGTCAAAATATTAATTATCAAAACATGAATTATGAAAGTGTTAATGTGCTTAAATAGTTCTTAGAATATGGTGAAAATAGAACTGACAAGGAGCAAAAATAAAGTGATATAAAAATAAATAAGGAATTACAAAATAAAAATATGAACAAAGAAAAAAAAAGAATTCAAAATGTGAAAAGATAAAATGAAATAATTAATGACCATGAAAATAAAAAAATCGTTCTGAAATAAAAATCTATCCGGAAACTAAAAATCACATCAAACGCTGATGTGATTAATATTATTATTAGTTATAATTCTAATCTTTCTCTACTGACAGAAGAGCTTAATATCCCAGCTATAGTGTGTAAACTGGTGTGACTGGTTTCAGAGAGACCGGTGAGCTGGTCAGACTGGATCCTGTCTGAATGGATTCACAACAGAAACCAGCTTCAGGTGGGCGTCGTGTCCGAGAGCAGGAAAGACGGACTCTGTTGTGACACACTGACGTTAACCCCAACACAGTCAGAGGGTAATTACACTGAACAAAAATATAAACGCAACACTTTTGTTTTTGCTCCCATTTTTCATGAGCTGAACTCAAAGATCTAAAACATTTTCTACATATACAAAAGACCATTTCTCACAAATATTGTCCATAAATCTGTCTAAATCTGTGTTAGTGAGCACTTCTCCTTTGCCGAGATAATCCATCCCACCTCACAGGTGTGGCATATCAAGATGCTGATTAGACAGCATGAATATTGCACAAGTGTGCCTTAGGCTGGCCACAATAAAAGGCCACTTTAAAATGTGCAGTTTTGCTTTACTGGGGGGGTCTGGGGGGGTCAGAAAACCAGTCAGTATCTGGTGTGACCACCATTTGCCTCACGCAGTGCAACACATCTCCTTCGCATAGAGTTGATCAGGTTGTTGATTGTGGCCTGTGGAATGTTGGTCCACTCCTCTTCAATGGCTGTGCGAAGTTGCTGGATATTGGCAGGAACTGGAACACGCTGTCGTATACGCCGATCCAGAGCATCCCAAACATGCTCAATGGGTGACATGTCCGGTGAGTATGCTGGCCATGCAAGAACTGGGATGTTTTCAGCTTCCAGGAATTGTGTACAGATCCTTGCAACATGGGGCCGTGCATTATCATGCTGCAACATGAGGTGATGGTCGTGGATGAATGGCACAACAATGGGCCTCAGGATCTCGTCACGGTATCTCTGTGCATTCAAAATGCCATCAATAAAATGCACCTGTGTTCGTTGTCCATAACATACGCCTGCCCATACCATAACCCCACCGCCACCATGGGCCACTCGATCCACAACGTTGACATCAGCAAACCGCTCACCCACACGACGCCACACACGCTGTCTGCCATCTGCCCTGAACAGTGAAAACCGGGATTCATCCGTGAAGAGAACACCTCTCCAACGTGCCAGACGCCATCGAATGTGAGCATTTGCCCACTCAAGTCGGTTACGACGACGAACTGCAGTCAGGTCGAGACCCCGATGAGGACGACGAGCATGCAGATGAGCTTCCCTGAGACGGTTTCTGACAGTTTGTGCAGAAATTCTTTGGTTATGCAAACCGATTGTTGCAGCAGCTGTCCGGGTGGCTGGTCTCAGACGATCTTGGAGGTGAACATGCTGGATGTGGAGGTCCTGGGCTGGTGTGGTTACACGTGGTCTGCGGTTGTGAGGCCGGTTGGATGTACTGCCAAATTGTCTGAAACGCCTTTGGAGACGGCTTATGGTAGAGAAATGAACATTCAATTCACGGGCAACAGCTCTGGTGGACATTCCTGCAGTCAGCATGCCAATTGCACGCTCCCTCAAAACTTGCGACATCTGTGGCATTGTGCTGTGTGATAAAACTGAACATTTTAGAGTGGCCTTTTATTGTGGCCAGCCTAAGGCACACCTGTGCAATAATCATGCTGTCTAATCAGCATCTTGATATGCCACACCTGTGAGGTGGGATGGATTATCTCGGCAAAGGAGAAGTGCTCACTAACACAGATTTAGACAGATTTGTGAACAATATTTGAGGGAAATGGTCTTTTGTGTGTATAGAAAATGTTTTAGATCTTTGAGTTCAGCTCATGAAAAATGGGAGCAAAAACAAAAGTGTTGCGTTTATATTTTTGTTCAGTGTAAATAATTTACAGTGCAGAGCTCAGTTTGAGGGCAGGAAGTCTCTGCTGAGCTCCAACAGTCTGAACATTAGTTCATGCGTTGAGGTGTGGAGATGTATCTGATCTCAGGTCAGCCTGAAACTGACACACACACAGATCCTTTATTGATCCTGACAGGAAGTGACCTCATACAGCAGCTACATGTAGCTACATGTCTCACCAGCAGACGCCTGGAATTGCTCTGTGCAACAACATGTCCAACAACATGTCCCTCACATCATGATGATACCCTGAGGGGACAGGGGACTGAGTCTTCCAGACTCAGACTGTTCTCTGAGCTCTATGATCAGTGTCACCATCACATCTCCGTCTGATCTGTTTACTGATTGATTGATTAATTGATTATTGATCCAATGTCAGGATCACTCCTCTTCCTCTCCTTCTTCTTCCTCTTTGGGTTAGCTGCTAGCTGCTAACTGCTACCAGCTGCTGTTCATCTTCTTTGAGAAGAACAGAAGGTCATAATCCAGCAGGACAGACAGGAAGTCAGCGTGCAGACCTCCGAACTTTCTCAGAGCACCGGCGTTCTGCTGATGAAGACTCGGTCACAGTGGTCCAGTCTCCTGAAGATAAAAGCAGGGACCAGTTTTTCAAGGTCCTGCTGAGACACCTGTCCTCCTGTCCTTGATGTGATCTTTAAGAGACAGTACACTGACTGATTGTCTTCAGGTGACTGCTCTCAGATCAGGTCTACCTGTCCTGGTCTGAGGTGTCAAAGGACGCTTTCACATTGGCACTATCTGGTCCGCTTTAAATGAACCCTGGTCTGCTTTCACGGATAGTTCGGTTTGTTTGGAGTGGTGTGAACGCTCATTCGAATTCTGGTGCGGACCAAACAAGCGATCCCTGGTCTGCTTAAAAACTGGGGGCCTTGGTCCACTTGCAAGTGAATTCTGGTATGGTTCGCTTACAGTGGTAAATGCAAACGGACTATCCAGCAAACCAAAGAGAGGAAGCGAAGCAGAGAGAGGAAGCGAACCAGAGAGAGAAAACGAACCAGAGAGAGGAAGGAGGAAGTGACGTAGAGCACAGTGCATTTTGGGTAGAGACAAACAAAGCCAACAGTGTGATCCGGTCGAAGCAGAGGTAAAAAAAGTTGGAAAACGCCTCATGGGCGGACGAGGAGTAGTGAGGAGGTGCAGACTGCATACATTTGGTGTTGCTCCATTGTTTTTTTTGGTGACCAAGCCAGCTGAAGGGGAAGGATTTCCGTTTTCAGTGCTGAGTGCAGTGTGAAAGTGAACCGAAGCAAACGAAGGTGTGAAATATTTCGGCATTCCCCACCCAATCGAACCGAGTCCCCTGGACTGTCCTGGTGTGACTGCACCCTGACAATGACTGCTGACTGGAGCTGCACAGTTCTTTATAAAATATGAGTCACCATCTTTAGTCTGACTGTTGTTTATAAAATCCTAAAACACGTCTGACGTTACATGACATTAATTTCTTATATCGATAACTTCAGTGCTGCTCAGTGTGACTGTTGAAACATGGTTAGTTTCATGACCCACCTCTGCGTCTGCATCTGATTGGTGGAGGGAGTGTGTGTGTGTGTGTGTGTGTGTGTTAATGTCTGGGCTTCAGGTCAGGTAACGTTAGCTTTCTACCAGCGCAGTAAACATCAGTTTAACTGTAACTAGGGGTGTAACGGTACACAAAAATCACGGTTCGGTACGTACCTCGGTACACAAGTCACGGTTCATTTTTTTTTTGGTACAGTAATGAAAAAAAATAGACAACTATTAAATATCTTTTACTTATTGGTAACCTTGTTAAAACATACCACCACAGCAGTTAACTGTTTTTACACAATTTTTGAATGAAACAAATATATATAAAATCCTGCTTTTTCACATTGTTTGAATGAAAATAGAAATATAAAAGTGAAAAATAAAATCCTGCTGTTTTTTTAAAACATTTTTTAAATGGTCAGCTTTAAAGCCTGCTCAGATTCAGTTTTACTAGGAACTTACTTAGCTTTCCCACTTTGTTAAAGTGCAGTAAACAAAACATGCTTATATCTAAAGTGCAGCTTAAACAATTTTACTCAACTCCAATGGTGTTTGTTATTTCTTTAGCGCGATGGTCAGGGAAATGCTCTTTCTTTTTAAATGACGACGATATCGTAGTTTGCACCAGATTGCTTTTTCTAGTCATGTCGGTTAACGTTCAAACTCGGGTGGTGTCGCTTTAGATGCGTTAGAATGTTAGACGTGTTTCCAAGTACATACCCGACCGCTGTTCTGCAGTGTCGCCACACTGCTTTTGTCTTGTCAACTTGTTTATTTCCATCTTCGTATTTTACCCTGAAACCAAAGTGTTCCCAAACGGAGGACTTAAGGTTTGCGGGTGGGTCTTCAGGTTCATCAGGCTCACTTGCCATGTTGTCAAAATGCGAGAATGCGCTGCACAAAGTGAAAGCGGAGATTTGCGGTCGGACTAGGTCCGTCACTCAATTATGTCCGTCAGGGAACTAGATATTTTAAATGGTTCGGCTCGCAAAAACGGAATTAAAATAAAACAAAATAAAATAATATCCTGCGCCCAATAATTCGGTACAGGGTCGTGCCGAACCTAAAGTCGTGTATCGAACGGTTTGACACAAATACATGTACCGTTACAGCCCTAACTGTAACACAACTCCATCCAGCACTCATCACTGTCTGCTGAGCTGATGTGGACCAGAGTCCTGCATGGGTCAGTTTCTGAAAACCTTCCCCCACCTGTACCCATAAAGCTCAGAACCAGAAGCGAGTTGTTCCCCGTCATTATGTTTAAGTCAAAGCCGCACCCGTTAATAAAAGTCCTGTGACCCTCCACCCGTGATCAACCCCCCCAGGCTCCAATCCCTCACATGAAGCTGGTTCTCCGTTCTTCAATTGGACGTCTCTTTCACTGGATGGTGAAAACATTCAGTCACTGCCAGGTTAGGAAACATTTCAGCATGCTCCTCCTGAAACCTTTTTCTTTTCTTTTTTAAAAGATTTAAATTATATTTTTCAAACATTTTAGTAACATTTTTATGACATTTTTTTAATATGTTTTGGATTTTTATGAACTTATTTTCTGAAATTTTATTAACTTTTTAATTTAATTTTTTTTTCTCCAGAAATGTTCATAATATTTGTGGGACACTTTATTATTAATTTGCAAACATTTTATTACCATGTTTCGGACATATTGTTAG